ACGTAGGTAAAGTTAAACATGTGTCCCTGACGGAGTCACCTACTGTCGCAAACGGTCCGTCCGCGACGCGGCGCGAAATAGAGGAATCGCCACAAAGCACTCAGAGTGGATTGGACACTTGAAAAACAAAGCTTAAATCGGTTAAGATTTAAACTTGGCTCGGTCAGCGAAATAGATTTATGGGTTCAGGGGTTGATTACAAGTATGGAAAGTATTAGCACCCTTACATTGCCCTAAGTTCTTTCTATCAATTTGATTTATCTTTTTATTTGATATTTGATTGTTTGAAATTATTTGGTTTACTTCAAATATGTGATATCATTTGTAAAATAATATTACATGTTCATTAACATATAATTATGTGGGATGAAAGAATTAATATTGTTGGTAATTTTCAGAAAAAAGGGTTTTATTTGTTAGTAGAATAGAATTGCAAGCAAAGATTGAGCAAAACTGTCGATTTTCCTCCTCCTTGATTCTAACTTTACTGCCTCTTCTTATTGTGAAATCGAAGACCATTATACACCCATCTTTCAACCACTTCAACCTACTCCCGTTTTTCTAATCAATTTTTTGTGCCCAAATTCAGTTTCTCTTCCTCTCTATCTTTAATGTTTAGATCATAGCTCAATCAAGAGTGGAGCTTATTCATTTTTCTGTGTTTTTGCAGAAAACAAAAGAGGGATGGAGGGGCGAAAGAGGGGCAGGTCTGGTCGGTTGGGATCGACGGGTCAATTTTGGCAGAATGGACTGAAAAATTGTTGTGTGTGCAAAAAGATCGATTCGGTTAGGTTCAAGTGTTGTGGTTGTTCTTTTTTTTTTGTGGTGGTGGGGGGGGGGGGGGGGGGGTTAGTGTAATGGAATGGGACTTTAGTGTGGATTAGGCATGGATCCCGATTCTATATCAAGATGGACTATAAGTCCTGCAGAGTAATGAAATGTGTTTGTTGAATACGGGATTACTAGTCAACTCAATTCCCTCAATCAAAAGATCAAAGGAATTCTCAAATCTAAAGAAGAAATAATCCTTCACCGGCTTAGAATTGAAGTTTTACTCAAAAATGAGATTTGAGGACCGGGACAAATATATCGACACTACACTTGTGAACACTAAACACACCTAAATTGTCTATAGCTCAAGTAACGTGCAAAGATTCCATGGCAACTACTCTAAAAGGAAATTAACCCATAAAGCAAATTAACTCAAGGTTCATAATCGGATCTACAATAAAATAGCTTGATCAGTACCCTATTGCAGAATTAACTTAATACTAGAAAACTGAGAATCCCATGTTTGTATGAATGGTGAGAAAGGAAAGAAACACAAAGCGGCTTACAAATTCAATGCAAGTCAAGAGACCGGGGGGACGAGAGGATGTAGTACCTAGATTATCCCAAGAAGCCAATCAGATGAATCAACTTAACATCAATAATAGCACAAACCATAATAGGAGGAAGATTTGGGTGGCTAAACAATGATCAAACATGAATCTCTTCTTGCACCAATTCCAACTGCTCATTGCTCTGAATAAGAACTTCTTATTGCATAAGTTCCATCATCTGCATTCATATTAACATTTTTATTCAAGTCCTCAAAACCATTGCTCACCACAAATCACTTACAACTACATGGTGCCATGCCAAACTTTAATTCTAGGGGTGGCCGAATTTCCTTCGGCTTCCAATCGATCTTCTTCCTCAATCAAATCCCTAATTCTATTCTCTTTTCCCCCAATTCTCTAACAATTCCCAATTCTCTAACCCTAGTCGAACGCGCCAAGATCCGTGTTTCTTATACACACAAAATAAAAACAAACACAATAATACTACTAGTTCAACACACATAAAGAACGAACAAAGAGTGTAGAGTCAAAGGGTAGAGAAAGAAGGTAGAGGTACAACGTGCCAACATGGCAAAACTTGTGGCTCTCCTGGCGACGAGGTGGAGATAGCTGCCACTCGTCCTGAACCTCAATACCCTGAGCACGGGCGAGTGCCTCCACCAAGCATTGTGAATGTCTCTAGGCATCTCGCTCACGGGATATCTGGGAGGATACCCCGACAAATGGTCCTCAAGGGCCGAGACTCGGGTCTCAAGGTTGTCGGAGGAAGAAGAAGGGTCGACTCCAGCTAAAGATGATGAAGCCATGTGGTGAACATGACGACGTGGTGGTGGTGGGGCCCTCCGTGCTGGCTCTGGCTCTGGTGCCTCCTCTATTACGGGTCGGAATAAGGCTGAAGGTCGGAGGCCATCGATGTACTCGATGTCTCGCTCGACTCGAATCACTCTCATATGGTGGAGTGTCTTCACCGGAAAGATCTCAGTCCTGCTAGTGCAACGGGTGAGGTCCACCCTGAAATACCTAGCAAGTCTGGTGATGAGGGGGCCAAGATGCAACAAGTAGAGTTCTACCACCGCCGCCAACCAAAGATTTTCGAGAATTGCTTCTGACGAGTCCGCGGTGAGAGGGAACTTGCAAAAGTTGTTCCTGTGCAACCTGAAGAAGAAGAAGAGATCCATGCTTAAGAAAAAAATTATTTTATGTTTAAATGGTGGTAATAATGAGGTGAAAATGTAAAAATTTATTATTTTTTAATTATCGCGTAACGGTCAACTACGAAAGTAGTTTGTTATGTAAGCTAAAGTGAACGAAAATGTACGAAGAGCAAGGTTGTCAAACCCCCTATCGGACCCCGGTTGGACCTGGTCCTACCTTAATTGAACTTCAAAACGGCCTCTAAAAAGGCCCCCGCGATCTGACCCCTAAAGAGGGGGAAGAGATGAAGAGGAACGAAATAAGTGAGATGGTGGGTCATGCAGGTTAGGTAGATTTAACATGTGGAAAATAAGTGTTTTTTTTTAATAGAAAGTGGAAAATAAGTGTTTAATACATACATGTGATATAAATTTTATTTTACTCATTAAATCTTTAATTACTACCTTATTTCTATATATATTTAGAAAACGTCTACAACGACTCAAACCGACCGGACCCCGAGCAGACCATTAAACCTCAAATCTCTTACTTGACCGGCCTAATGAATTAAACGGATTTGACAACCTTGACGGATCGGAGAGTGACCACTGATAAAACAAGAGTATAAAGTTAAACTTAGGTCATACAATTCGTGTGAAATGGGTAGGCGCTCGCGCTTTAGAGCGCAAAAGCGCGATCTTGAATGAATTCGCGAAAAATTCGCGATTTATTATCTGTTGGAGCGCGATTTTTGCTGGATAATCCGCATTTGTATTTCACAGGGATAGAGCGGAAGAGAAAAGGAACTGAAGACGGTGATGACTATCGATTGGATGGAATCGCCGGTCGGGTTTGTGGAGGGAAGCCAAGAGGTCGGCTCTGCATTTGAAGAGCCTTGGTTGATCAGAGAGATCTTGAACTGGAGGGAGGATATTGGTCGATAGATGATGAACGATATTGCTGTTAAAATCAGCCACATGCTGAGTTACCTGAGTTTTGGGAATCATCATCAGATCTTGTTTACGTTTGAAGAGATGGATGGTTGTACGATTAGGAAGGAAGAAGGTGTTGAACGATTGGATTGGCGTGTGCACAGGCGGTGACTGGTGAGGGGGGATTGAGAGTCAGATGCTGCTGCGGGGAAGAAGGGGGTGGGTGTGGCTGTCTAGGTTAAGAGCTTCGGCTCTAGGTTTGGGCTTTGGGTCCATCTAGCTAAGCAATTATTAGGATTCATTAAGGTTGGGCCATTCAACTTGGACGTTCTCTTCTTGGACGTTCTCTTCTTTTTTACCAAAGAGATTAGGTGCTCTTTTACTATTGTTCATAAGTATATTTGTTGAATTTTTTTCTTGATTTAGTTTCTCTCATATGTGTGATGATATTTTCCAAATTTGATAGTATATTAAATCATATTTTAATTAAAATAATATAATATTAACGCTTTTTTGACACCCTCAATATATAATTCTCTCAAAATAAACGCTCTCACACTCCCACGGGAATGGATCAGGTGAGTAACCTTATGGTGAGTAACCATGAGTAACCCGTCCACGTCAGCATGACATCAGCATCCTCTCTCTCATGGAAAGCCTTTAATTTTTCCCTCTTTAATCTTTGACGGATGATTTCTCGCTCATTTTAAGTCGAAATTTAATTTTTTTTGCACAGTTAGATCAAATTAATTGTGCTCTTCAAAATGATATCCATTTTAATATATTTGTCGAACAAAAAAAATTGAGTCATTTTTTACCAGCCTATACCATATGGTATTGACTGGTATTGAAATAAAAGCATACCTATGTTTTGAAAAACGTACCATGGTGGTATGAACAAACCAATACTGTAGGATGGTTGAATACATGATAGTAGAAGTATATTAATTGTAATTTACGACTTTTAACATTGTATACCACACAATACCACCCCGTACCAGGGTGGTATTGTATGGTATTGTGTGGTATTTTTTGGTCCTGTAATTTGTAGATCCAATAGATCATGATGAACTCGTCCCTTCTGTGCAAACGTTTTCAAAAACGAATTAAAAACGAAGAAGATACCATACAATACCACCCCGTACCAGGGTGGTATTGTATGGTATTGTGTGGTATTTTTTGGTCCTGTAATTTGTTCACCCAGAAATTTGTAGATCCAGTAGATCATGATGAACTCATCCCTGCTGTGCAAACGTTTTCAAAAACGAATTAAAAACGAAGAAGATACCATATGGTATGCAGTTGGTACCGAGAGGCCAGAATTTTTTTTCCTAAAAAAAATATTGAAAATTGATCTCATTTTGTAGAGCACGGTGAACTCGTTCCATCTGTGCAAAAAAAATTAAAATCCGAGTTAAAACGAAAAAGATATGAGTCAATTAAGAAAGCTAGTGAAAATAAAAATAGCCTTTAATTCTCCATCCTTAGATCTGAATTTTCTAAATGAAGGGTCCATATTTGGTTATTGATGGGTGCATAACCCATGGTTATGCACCCTATCTTGAGCCCACTCCCACTCCCACTCCCACTCCCACCTTCGCTCCACGGTATCCTAAAGTTAAGCACAGACATCAAGACTGACCAGCAAATTCATCCCAAAAAAAAAAAAAAAAACTGACCAGCAAACAACAAACCGAGCCGCTCCCCCCATTTCGCCGATCTCGTTCCTTTTGCCTTCCACTGTTGAACAACACTTCAGAGTTCAGAAGAAGCGCCGAGAAATGGCGGCGATTTACAATCTCTACATCATCAACAAATCCGGCGGCTTGATTTTCTACAAGGTATCTGTCTACTGGCTAATCTCGGATCGCTTCCCACAGTGCTTTTGGATTTTGTCCTTGAAAATGGATTTGAAACCCTTTGCGATTAGGACTACGGGTCGGCTGGAAGGATGGATACGAACGATAGCCTGAGAGTGGCCAGCTTGTGGCATTCGATGCACGCCATCTCACAGCAGTTGTCCCCTGTTCTTGGCTGCGCGGGGATCGACCTCCTTGAAGCCGATAATTTTGATCTCCATTGCTTCCAGTCACTTACAGGTAAACTTGAAACTGTAAATTTTCAATCCTGCATTTAGCCTTTTGGGTTACTTGTGAACCCCAATCCCCAGAAGCGGAAAAAGGGAATGACTTTGCTGCTTTTGAATGTCTTTTTGTTGCAGGAACCAAGTTCTTTGTGGTATGTGAGCCTGGAACGCTGCACATGGAGAATCTGTTGAAATACATGTATGAATTGTATACAGATTATGTGTTGAAGAACCCTTTCTATGAGATGGAGATGCCGATTAGATGTGAGCTATTTGAGATCAGTCTCTCTCAGGCTATACAGAAGGATCGTGTTGCTCTGCTGGGTAGATAGATAGATGATAGATTGTGTTGATCTCATTCAGCAACTTCTAGCTCTGTATCACTGTATGTTTTTCTTTTTCAAGTGATTGCTTAACGTACTGTGTTCTTGATCTTATGCAATTGGGATCTGTGTTTTCTTATACTTTGCATTGTATTCCGAGCAACTCTCTATTTCTTTCCTCGTCTCCTGAAGTGGCAAATAGAGAATATTAAGAATCGTTCTCTTGTTATCTATCTTCCTCTGAAGCCCTCTTCACATACAAACCTATTGTCAAGTTCATCTGGACGGACTCTTGGTACAGAAGCCTTGTTTCTATCCTCTGTCCAGTATGGATATCTCTAAAATCCTCTCCACCCAGAAATGCACAACGAACGACAACAACAATAACTATAAAAGAACACCCTGTACATTCTTCAACGATACCCATTTCCCTAAAACTCCCATCAAAACCAACTTGAATGAACAATAAAACTGGACTCAAGCAAAAAGTGGGGAGGCAGAAGGTCTAGGATAAGCGGGTCGTACTTCACGGTTCTCTTTATCATCAGATTCCTGCTGCTGCTGCTGGTGCTCTAGGCCACCTTTCTTCTTGGACTCTTGCACCTGTTCAAGGACCGTGACCACCTCATCCATGTTTGGCCTGAACCTTGGTTCCATGGCTAAGCACTGAAGGGCAAGGTTGGCCACTTTTTGAGCTCCAGGGAGAGCATACTGGCCCTCTAGACGTGCATCCATTATTCGGAGGACCCGTCGTTTGTTTATCAAGTAAGGTCTGGCCCATTCAACCAGATTGTGTTGCCCAGAAGGCCGGTTTTTGTCTATGGCTCTCCGGCCAGACAGCATCTCCAGAAGTACAACTCCAAAACTGTAGATGTCGCTCTTTGCTGTCAGATGACCTGGCATCAATACAGATCATAGAGCAAAGATATCAGTAAAAGAACAAAACAAGGACTTCTCAACGACGCGAGAACACAAATTGAGATAGCTACCTGTTGCTAGATATTCTGGTGCTGCATATCCATAAGTTCCCATAACCCTGGTAGAGACATGGCTTTTATCACCGGTTGGACCATCCCTTGCTAACCCGAAATCAGAAAGCTTGGAGTTGTAGTTCTACTCACGGACCAAGAAAGGTGCAGACACAAACAAAATAAGTCAGTTCTTAATACACCTGACCTGAATGAATGCGATAAGAAGAGGGGAAACAGAACTTTCACATACCGTGTCGAGAAGAATGTTAGATGCCTTGAAATCCCGATATATAACTTGTACTTCACTGCTGTGAAGAAAGGCCAGCCCTCTCGCAGCCCCCAGAGCCACCTTCATTCTAATGCCCCAAGAAAGGGGATGAACATGAGAACCTCCTACTTCAATGCAAACACAATCCAATGCTTAGTTTTGGTGGTCTAAGGAAAGGGAACAAAACTTGGTTAGGATGATAAGATGGCGAAGACTGCAATCAACTAACTCACTCCTGAATAAATGATTCTCCAAACTGCCCCGGGACAAGAACTCGTAAACCAAAAGACGATGGTCATCCTCCAAGCAGTAGCCGAGCAGTTTGACCAGGTTTGGATGATGTAACTGCCCAAGATAATTTATTTCCGCCTGTTTAAATCAACAAAAGTCAAATTCTCAGTAATTATGAAACCTTCCTGCCTCTAAACAGCATCTGTAGTTAATCTACTAGACATTTCCTTACCAGCCATTCTTTGTGGCCCTGGAACCCATCCTGATTCAGTCTCTTCACAGCAATTATAATGCCGCTCCCGGGTTTGGTAGCAGATAGTGAATTCTCGTCGACCCATCCTTTGAAGACTGATCCGAACCCACCTTCTCCAAGCACACTATCCGGTCTGAAGTTTCTGGTACATGACTTCAGGTCACTAAAGCTGAAGACTTTTAAGTTGGAGGTCTGCAGAATCTCACCTTCACTCCTAGGAGTGTGAGGTAATGAATCCTTGCTACTCGAATTGCTCAAACTTCTGCCATCTCTGCTACTACCACCCTTCGAATTCAGCCCTACACAAGATGAAGCACCCAAAAAGGTAAGTCCCACGGTTAAACCCACCACCAATGCATCATTCCCCCTCTTTTCTCACAAATCAGCCTATCAAAATTGGAACCTTGAACCTCTGCAAGGCAGAAAAAAGACATCCTCTTCCGACACGCTAAAAAAAGGTAACTACTAGCTGACTGGGACACTACAAGTCTACAACCCATTTTAGCAAATGGAAACCCATTTGTTGAACTGGATGCTTAGCCTATATATCGAGAAACCATCTCAAACGAAAGCAGAAAGGAGATAGACAAAGTAGAATAGAGAACCTGAATACCAACGAGATCAACGATAGAAATCTATTATGTCAGTGTACCTGTATTTGAAGGACTATATGCTTTGATTTGATTACTCCAGCAAAGTCCCATCCAAACAAAAAGAAACCCCCAGATTTCCTCTTCACAGTGGCCAACTCCAAGAAGCTCAGGGAACCGAAAGGAAAAGGCCGGATCTTGAAAGAGCAGCCTAAGATTTCCAGCTCAAGAAAACATAAAAGGTTGCAACTTTGGGGGAGCAGCACTTTCGAGGTGATGTTCAGAACGATTGCATAAGATCTCACCGCCGGGTTCTGTTGGCACCTGGCCGAGAGAAGAAAGTGTTGATTGACGATTGCCCAAATAGAAAAGCAGGCAAGGAAAAAAAGGGGAAGAAACAGAGGAATTGTCTTTCGCTTCTTCCAATTGGGTTGCTTCTCTCTGGTTTCCTTTTGCTTTCCTTACTTTCTTTGATTTTTCTCGCTCTTTTTCTTCTAGTGGGTGATAGGGTAATTAGTATAAACCGTCACACAACTAGTTTACTAGAGGAACTATGCTATATAGTATTGTACCATAATATTAAACGTATAAGTTTAGGTTGTATCATAAAGGAATTTGTATAATTATACTATGGTACAATTTTACAACTTGAAGTTATACCATCACATAAAAGTACAAGTTCAAATTGTACTATACAAGAATTTGTACAAAAAGTATAGGTACAATCTAAAGTTGTACCATAACGTTAAAGGTACAACTTCAAGTTGTACCATAAAAGTAAAAACCTATAGCACTAATACTATATAGCATTGTAAAATTCCTCGAACACTTCTATTATGCTATATAGCATCGGTGCTTTAATGTACAACTCAAAGTTGTACCATAACATTAAATGTAAAAGTTTAGGTTGTACCATAAAGCAATTTGTACCATTATGTTATGGTACAACTTTACAACTTGAAGTTGTACATCACATAAAGGTACAAGTTCAAGTTGTACCATAAAAGAATTTGTACAAAAAGTATAGGTACAATCTAAAGTTGTACCATAACGTAAATGTACAATTTTAAGTTGTACCATAAAGGCAAAATCCTATAGCACCAGTACTATATAACATTGTAAAATTTCTCAGTTAACTAAAGTTCAATTTTGCACATGTTAGTAAAATATGTTTGGATGAATACCAAATTAGGCATCCATTCCAATTCCGTCCAAAAATATGTTAAACAGGTACAGTCAACACGCCACTTCAACAAATAAAAATTAATAAACAAATAGTAAAACCAACCAGCAATCCCTAACCAAACCAACCACCCGACCATTACCCAGAAGAATAAATCTTCCTTCCCCATCCCGTAAACACACTCTCCCTCTGACCCTCTCCCTACTCCGGTAATCCCAACTCCTCCACACCCCCTCGAGAACGGCAATCCAATCAGAAGAAGAAGAAGAAGAAGAAGAAGAAGAAGAAGAAGAAGAAATTATTCTCGGTAGACGAAGCTTCATCCTCATCCTTTCCAACTTCTTCTTTGTCCTCTTTCAGCTCTGCAAAGAGAAATCTACGGCCTGCCGACATACCCCGTCGTCGAAAGTTGGTGGTTGCTCCGTGACGGCGAAGTCGAGGGGATGACAATCGTGGGAGAACTTGGACGTCGATGCTCTCCCTCTCGCATTTCTTTTGCCGCTGTTATTGCGCAGGTTCGTCATAGAAAGGGGGGGATCTCTTCTTTGTCTTGTGTTGCGGTTACTTAAACCGTGTTAATATTGGGCCTTGTTGGGCCTCATCTGATTCGTTGGATTAGGGTTTTAACCCTAAGGTTATCTATATAAGCTTAGCTATTGACTTGTGTGATAGCAAGCCGTCAAGATGTAATCCGAATAAGAGATCAGCCGTGAGCTCTTATGAGCTCACCGTGGATTAGTCTCGATCAATCAATCGATCGAGGATACCACGTAAAATTGTTGTCACATGTATTCTATTTCAATTCCGCATCATCAAATTCTACATGGTATCAGAGCAAAACTCGATCCCTCTTAGGGTTTTGAGCTTCCGCAATCAACCTCTCCATAGGCGAAGTCCAGACCGCCGTCCATCAACGTCAGCATCCGTTGCCTCTCTCCGACAGCATCAACGTCACAGTCCGAAGTTGCTTCTTCATCAGTCCAACGGTAAGCGAGACAGAAAAGTTGCTCGTGGAGTTCTTCTTCATCTCGTTGGAGCTGTCCGCTCGTCAAGGGCCGCAAGAAGGCCACGCTCAGCAAGCTCGCGATTCTGGCGCATCTCTCCAGTCTAGGTGCTCATTTCCGCTCGGAACTTCTTTTCCGAGGTCGCCTCAAATCAGCGCCAGTCCGCCATCGTGCGATGCTGGTTCTTCACATCCGGCCGTCATTGTCCTCCGTGCCATAGTCACCATCAGATCACAACACCAATTTTGTCACCACCTCCAGCGCCATCAGACCTGGCGACTTAGTCGACGTGGGTGACTCGACGTCGATCGTCGTCCTCATCCCGACACAGTCAAATTGTCATAATTGTCGGCGTCAGACGAGGCTACTCAGATCCGTTATCGATATGCTCCACCGTCAATTGTGCCGCGTCTCCCGCCGTTCTGCCATCTCCGCCTTTGATTGCTTCGCCAGAGGCGATGATGCGAATGTTCAAGTGGGCAATATGGAGAAGGGTTTTCCCTAACTGGGCCGCTCACAGCAGGCCCGAACACAGCGGGCCACCACTCTTCCAGTTTTGGGTCTTGTCCATCCGAAAGAGTGCAAAGCAATTTTACCTCTAGTTCAGTACTCCACTTCGGTTGGTATGTGTTGGCCGCATTGCAAGGAAGCATAAACTCTTGCTTTACTTTGACTTGGATAAGTCCGTGTGTCTTTTGGTTCTTTAAAGTTTGGAGACAAGTTGGACTTGGTGGAAGTGCATTGGGTCAACGAAATTATACTGTCAACAGAAGGCTTGATCTTATCCTCAAGTTTGTTAAGTTCTCGCCTGTCATGTTCTCAATCAGCTTTCATCAATTAACAACGGAGATTCAGTCTAGTCATTGGCACCAAAGGCAGTCACGACCTAAGAATTGGGATCATCCCTTCGGCGGCCAGGGTTGAGAAGAAGGCAAAATTCTTCACCCACATTCCAGTCATGGCGTTGAAGACAATCGTGACCTACAGTTGTCGCTCCTTCAATAGCTAGTGTTGGTAAGAAAGAACAGCTTCTTTCAACAAAATTTTCAAGTAATCAGGTCGAGGCATTCACGATTCATAAAATGGTCGTCCCTGGCATTCAAAAGGTAGTACGATCAGAGAAGTCATCGTCCCTTCATCGTCCAGTTAGCATTCACGATCTAAGAAATGGTCGTCCCCTTTTCCGGTTCATTAGTGGGCACATTTCAGCCATTCATCGCTTTTCAAGCCGGGCATTCACGATGTTCATGCTCCAGCTTGAGGGGGAGAATAGGAGGTCAACATACGTCGGTCGACTACCTCAGTCATCAGGTCGACCGCGATGTACCAGGTGTGTTCAAGTTCAAGAGACGCAGTCAATCGTCTCCATCATCAGGTTGTTCAGAGAGAGTCAGTCGTCTCCAATCAACCTCGTTCGAGATTTTATTCATCTCGAGTTTTTTGGTTCAAGCCATCATGCTTGTTCTTCACATTTACTTCGTCAAGCTCGACATTCTTGTCATTCATGTCTTCGCTTGAGGAGGAGTGTTGCGGTTACTTAAACCGTGTTAATATTGGGCCTTGTTGGGCCTCGTCTGATTCGTTGGATTAGGGTTTTAACCCTAAGTTTATCTATATAAGCTTAGCTATCGACTTGTGTGATAGCAAGCCGTCAATATGTAATCCGAATAAGAGATCAGGCGTGAGCTCTTATGAGCTCACCGTGGATTAGTCTCGATCAATCAATCGATCGAGGATACCACGTAAAATCGTTGTCTCGTGTGTTCTATTTCAATTCCGCATCAAAGGTTTTTTAGCTTTAAAGTCCGAATCTTTAGAGAATCCTGTTGTCTGGGTATTTCAGAACTCCCCCATTGAATAGTTTGGTATTTCTCTGCAGAGAAGAACAATGAAATTTGGATTTTAATTGTTGATTACTGCAAACAGTTCAATGATATTTTGCTTGCTGTTGTAATGGGTTTATATCTGGTGGAACACTGCAGTTTATTTGAAGTTGCATTATCGAAATTCGGCTGTGAAACTTTGTTGTCAATATTTGAATTGATGGTCAGCAGCCGCGGAGGACAGTGACCGGAGAGCCAAGCTGAAAAATTGAGCTAAAAAATTTGGGAGGGAGAGGGAGAGAGTGTTTACAGGATGGGAAGAAAGAGTATTATAGTTCTGGGTAATGGTCGGGTGGTAGGTTCAGTTAGGGTTTGCTGGTTATTTGTACTATTTTTTATTAATTTACTTATTGACGTGGAGTGCTGACTGTACCGATTTAACAGATTTGCTGGTTATTTAGAGCAATCAGATAGAGCAACTCTCGAGGAAAATGATGAGAAGCTTAACAGGGCACGACGCCTATTAAAAGCTCGGAGGGTGGCGCTCAACAAACAAGAAAGAATTCGCAAAAGGAAAAATGACTTGAGTAACAAAGACTGGGAGACGCCTCCCCCGATTAAAGAAAAGGCGCACGACGGCGCCGCCCCTTATTCAAAAGATCGCAAAGGGTGGCGCCTAAGAAAGACGAAGTGAAACTTACCTACGCAAGATCCAAAGGCGCCTAACGAATTGAAGGAACGATGCCTGAAAAGAAAACCAATAATTTTAAGAACGAGGACGCGGAGGCGCCTCCTATTATTGAAGAAGAGGCGCACGGCGACGCCGCCCATGATTAAAAAATCACAAAGGGTGGCGCCTAGGAAGAAAGAAGGGTGGCGCCTACAAAAATTGGGTACAAAATAAAGCTACCTAAATCGCGGGGGTGGCGCCGGTCAAGGAGAGCACTTAGAAAGAGGCGCCGAAAGGAAGGGGAGCGGTCGAGTTGGGAGGGGAAGAGAGGAAAATGAGAAGGAGGATCTTAAATAGGGTGAGTAGAGAAGGAGGCGCACGGTTTCCAAAGTGGGCTGCCCCCAAAGCCCAATCTACTCTACCTCTCCCCAAAATTGCCTACCTTAAGCGCTTGAGGTGCCTCCTCGCCAAACTCGAAAGGAAACAAAGATGAAAGATGACACACATTCAAGGACATCTCTCAGAAAGGGCTCAATCGGTGGAAAATGAATAATCGAAGAGCCACCTCTACATTCAAGGTTGCAGCATGTGACATGCGCCTGACAAGAGGAAGAGGCGCCAGAGACAAATGACTTGACATTATTTGACAAATACAATCTAAGGGAATATTGGAAGAGCCAAACCTAACCTTGCAAGTCCAAGTATCCCTCGTACGAAGGGAGGACCGATCATGAGGATCACATAAAAGAAATCTTTTCAAAAGATGCAGCTACATATCCTTTACAAAGTGTCTCCCTCTACTTTCACCGAAAGATGCAGGCATGCAACAGTTGTGGGTCAAAACGAGCAG